ACCGAGAAAAATGGATTTTTCAGCAATTCACAATATAACTGATAGGACTTTTCTCGCAAAGAGTTTTTGGCAGGGATTACCGCTACAAAATAAGGAGCTAAAAGCGGGTGAAGCTTCAAAACCTCGCGAGTTAATTGAGAACTAGCCACCGTTTCTTTCTGGTAAGCGTCTTCCAAAGTCGCTAACATTAATCTTTCTACACCAAACGAAATTTCGATTACTTCGGGAATAATTTCTTGATTATTTTCTTTTATCCCTAAAAATTCTTGGGAGTGCTGACCATGTTGAGTTAAATCGTAACTGCCGCGGTCGCTAATACTACATAATTCACCCTCGCCAAAATGATAATTAAAATAAAGATCCAAGGTTTTTTTAGCGTAATGAGGTAATTCTTCTTTATTCAAATTTACTTGTTTGGTTTTTGCTGGGTCATTGACAATAATCTTTTGCAGAAAATTTCAGGCTTTTTCGGTTCAATAATCTCATCATTTTTCACTTTCCTCGCTTCGGCAAAAAAATTCTAATTCTAATTGTTCAAATTCACGGGTCCGGAAAATTCCATGGTGAAGCGTGATTTCATTGCGAAAACTTTTACCAATTTGACCGATACCAAAAGGAAGTTGCCGGCGGGTGCTTCGTTGGATAGCCGCAAAATTAATAAATATTCCTTGGCAAGTTTCGGGTCGTAAATAGACTACATTTTCTTTTCCATCGGTAATTTCTAAGTTGGTAGTCAAAAGTAGGTTGAATTGGCGAGGAGGGCAAAACTTGTTCTTTCCACACTTGGCACAATTAGCTTTTATCAAGTAGTTTCCTTTAGTTTCTATTTTTAAAAAAGTATTAAATTCTTCGGGGCTAATTAACTTATCAAGGCGGTATCTTTTTTGGCAAGTTAAACACTCCACCATTCAATCATGAAAGTTTTGGCGATGACCGGAGGCTTCTAAAACTTGAGGATGGGTAATTATTTGACTATCACAGCCGATGTTATAAGCACTGGTAGTAATAAAATACTTTCACCACAGGTTTTTTAAATTGCTTTTTAATTCAATTCCATAAGGTCCTAAATCTCAGGATTTAGCAAAACCACCATAAATTTCGGCATTGGGAATAAAAAAACCATAATGTTTTAAGTAATTAGTGATATTTTTCTCGGG